TTGTTCTCCCAGTAGGTCCTCCGATTCACGACCACTCAATCCAGAAGGGTTTCCTCTGCAATATTTTCCTGGTTCTTTTTTCTGGGGCTACTGTAACTCCCCTTTTATTAAACTAAATTTTCCCGGACTATCGGTGCGCACCCTCACTATTCCGCCATCTTGGCTCCCTCCACCTTCTGCATTTTTGATATTAGCCATTCTAACAGGTGTGATGTTCATTGTAGCTTTGATTTTCAATTCTCTGATGGCTGGTGATATTATTTATTGACTATTTGTGTTTCTTCCTTGAAGAACTGCATTCAGTTACTTCACTCATCTTTTAACTGGATTGTTTTGTTGCTGTTCTTGTTATTGAATTTTTTATATTATGGATATTAATCTTTGGTTGGGTAAGTAGCTTCCAAATATTTTCTTCCATTCTGTAGGATGTTTTTCATTCTGTTGATTGATTGCCTCCTTGGTTGTGTAGATGTTTCTGTATTTGATATAACCCAATTTGTCTACTTTCCTTGTTGCTCTTAGAGTCATCTCCAAAAAATATTTGTCTATACTAATTACAGATTTTAAGACCATGATGAAGTCAAGGGAATTATTCATGCTTAAAGGGAGTATTTTGAAATTGATGTTCTATTAAGTGGATTACCTTGAAAGTTCATTTTAGAATTTGATGATGAGTGATAAGATATCTCATAATACTTTTCCTCTGTAGATTTTTCTGTATTCTAGTTGGTACTATTTGAATTCATGCCAGTTCTATTTAAATGTAAAACTATTTCACTCTCAATTTATGTATTCTTATGACTTAATTCTTTAACAGCAGCTCCTTTATATTAAGTTCAGATTTGGTACAAATATGGTGAATTTTACCAATTATATTTGAATCAATTTTCTCTCAGGTATTTATGATTTTCTTAATTTAAGCATTTTAGCAAAGAATTTGGTTATTATTTTCATTTCAGGGTCCACCACAAATATAATTGTAACTGTCTGTGGTTACAATAGATTCCCATTTTCAGTTTCATGAGAGCTAGCCAATTTCATGAAAAGCAGTTGTGGGGAGAATAGGCAAGAGGGTTATAGGAGCTGAGATCAGGAAAGAAGGTGGAGATGAGGCCAGCTAGGCCTTGAATGTCATTGAAATTTTAGTGCTGTTCTGAGATAGGAATCTCTTGGAAGGATTTAAGTAGAGGATTGAAAGTGAGAGAATCTCTGATTTTATTTTGGTCTATAATGCAAATGAGGGAAATTGTTCAACACTGTAGAAATTACTAGCTTCAGTTATGAAGTATGTTGTCTATGGAATATGTATCACTTTTATGCCATCATGAGTCTGAAAAATTGAAGAGAAACAATCACAAGTCTGTTTGTGACCATTTGTATGTAACTTAGAAGTAAATATTAAGACAATTTGATCATAAAATGATTTATAAAATAGTAATATAAATGTGTTCTCAAGAAGTGGTGAACCACCTTCATCAATGGGCTGATAACAAAAAGCACATCCTGTATCAGAGTAGTGACAGGAGGCTGTAAGAAGTTACTGCTTTAAGTCAGCAGATGAAATAAAGTATATAAAGAAGATATTAAGGGAAACCCAAAGACAAGTATATGAAAATTAGCATGTCAATGAATTCTATACTGGTTAAAGAATGTGCACTAGAATAAAAATCACAGTGAACGTAATTTTTAAAAAAATATTTTATTATAATTAAGACAATTTTGTCAATATGATAACTTCTTACACCATCTTATTCTGCCATTTTTCTTACACTTAAATTCTTTCTAAAGATAGTATTTATATTTGAGAATGTTGCAGATTTTGCACTAGTCCTCCTAAAAGTTGAGAGACTTTATCATCTACATATTGCCATTCAACTTCAAAACTTTTTGCACCAAAATTGACTTATCTTTAAGATCATTTCCCACAAACTCTTTTTTTTTTTGACAGGCAGAGTAGACAGAGAGAGACAGAGAGAGAAAGGTCTTCCTTTGCCGTTGGTTCACCCTCCAATGGCCGCCGCGGCCAGCGCACTGCGGCTGGCGCACCGCACTGATCCGATGGCAGGAGCCAGGAGCCAGGTGCTTTTCCTGGTCTCCCATGGGGTGCAGGGCCCAAGCACTTGGGCCATCCTCCACTGCACTCCCTGGCCACAGCAGAGAGCTGGCCTGGAAGAGGGGCAACCGGGGCAGAATCCGGCACCCCAACCGGGACTAGAACCCGGTGTGCCGGGCCGCTAGGCGGAGGATTAGCCTAGTGAGCCGCGGCACCGGCCCCCACAAACTCTTAAAGATTTATTGTATTTTACTTGAAAGTCAGAGTTACACAGAGAGAGGAGATGAAAGAGAGAGAGAGAGAGAGAGGGAGAGGGAGAGGGGGGCAGAGAGAGAGAGAGAGGTAGTCTATCCGGTGGTTCACTCCCCAATTGGCTGCAACGGCTGGAGCTGCATTGATCTGAAGCCAGGAGCTATGAACTTCCTCCAAGTCTCCCACATGGGTGCAGGGACCCAAGGACTTGGGCCATCCTCTACTGCTTTCCCAGGCCACAGCAGAGAGCTGCACAGGAAGTGGAGCAGCCGGGTCTGGAACCGGCGCCCATATGGGATACCAGCACTTCAGGCCAGGGCATTAACCCACTGCGCCACAGTGCCGGACCTTCCACAAACTTTTAAAAATGCTGTTTTGAACACTCTTATCTGTATAGTTCATGTAACACCATAGAGCTCACCTATCCAAATAAGTGTAGCTCTGTGTCCTTAGTATATTCCCAGAGTTGGATAACCAGCACCACAATCAATTTTAGAACAGCTTTTAACATCCTGAGAGAAAACCTTCTATAATTCACCCATCCTGCCTTTAGCTCCTATCTCTTCCCTAGTCCTTAGGCAACCAAACATGTACGTTTAGTGTCTCATGATTTGCCTGATGTGGATATTTCATTTAAATAAGGTCATTCCTACAATATGCAGCCCTTTATGACTGATTTCTTTCACTTAACATTTCCAAGGTCAATTCATGGTATAGAATCTATCAATACTTCTTATTATTTTTCAAATAATATTGTACTGTGCAGAATACAGTTCTTTGTAGGAATTATTCATTCATCAGTTGATAAACATTTCATCAGTTGATAGAACACTGTTTCCATTTTTTGACTATTATTAACGCTATTGCTATGAACATTCATTTCCAAGTTAATGTATGGAATATGCTTTTTACTTCTCTGCCTGTGGACGCCAGTAAAGTGAATGTCTCTGGCCAGTTTCCCCCCCTTCCTCCTTTTTCACACTGCTGTTTTAGTTTCTGTTGATCTGTACTCATTGTATTCAGACCCTACTCCAAAGGTCCTTTCACTGATGGGATGTTCTGTGTTCTCATTGATTTTTCTCTTTTCAGTACTTGTCATCTAGTTTATGGAGAATAATGTGGCCTTTAAGTTTATATTGCTTTTACTTATCTGCATAATAGATAATTTGTCTACGGTGACAGTTGTGCTGTAAATTTGCCTAAGTGGACATATGTGATATAAATGTGTAGATTGAAAATGTTACAGTTGGACAGTTAAGTTAAAATTAAGTACTTTGTGCCATTCCATCTGTGTTTCTTGAGACACTGACAGGAACATTATGAGTGAATGAATGAATGAATGAATGAAGCTTTTCTTCTAAACACATTTTAGGCAATTAAGTACAATATTCAAATACTTAATCCTGTTTCTGGAGAATTGTTCTATAAAATGCTAATGCTCTACTCACTGGGAGAATATAAAATCTGAAGTTTGCTTCCCTTTATTATATAGCCAGAGCTGGGACTCGTAGCTTTACAGCTCTTTACCAGTGGAAAAGTCATACATTTTCTTACACACCAAACCATGGAGCACCACTCTATCCTCAGATTGCTTGCTAGAGCAACCTGAGAATGAAGAGTGATTTTGGAAATTTGATTTAGCTATAGAGTCTGGTCTTTTCATTAGTACATTTAGGCCAATTTTTATGGCCATGTAAGATATGTGCTACTCGAATTCGGAGTCCTGTTTATATTGTATTTCATTATTATTGCCCACTGAGTTTACAGAAAAAAGTAACTTTTAAATTATAAGTTGCATAAAGGATGGGTGGCTAATAAAATTAATGAAAGCTTTATAATGAGCTGGCAATGTATTCTAGGGCCTCATGCTCCTAGTTTGCTGCCACTTTGGTATGAAGGATTCAGTACCACTTTATAAGAGATCACTTCTATTGCTACGCTCCCCTTCCCAAATATGTCATTTTATTCAAACATGAATTCAATAATAATAATGCTATTGAAATATTTCCCTGACTATGTGACACATCTTCTTTGAAGTTCTTTACATATACCTTTAATTTAATACCTCCCACTTTCAAGTGAAGTAGACACTATTATTTCCATTGTACAGGTGAAGAACTAACACAGGGCAAATGAATTTGCTGAAGGTCACACAGATAGTGGAGCCAGAATCCAGGCACTCTGGCTTCATTGTTGGTGTGGCCACTGAAAAATTCCATTGAACATTTGTTGTCTATAACATCATGTTAATTTTTATGATCTCTGGGATACCAATGGTCATTTGCACATATGAATATTTAAAATTATAGTTGATTTCATAGTACTTGGATTTCAAAATTATAGCTATTTTCCATAAGGTAATCTTCCATTCCTTTAACTGGCCAATATTGTAAATCTGAGAATTTTTCTGATAGAACATAATCAAAACCAAGTCTACTCCTGTGTCATTTTCTTGAGCAGAAGACTATAAACTTTCTGTAATGGCCCAGACAGTTCTGTTTTAGATTTGAGGTCATAGCATCCCTGTTGGCACAACTCAACTTTGAAGTTATAGCATAAATGTAGTCATGAATAAGATGAAAAGGAAGAGTCATTGCTATGTTCTAATGAAATTTTAGTCATAAATCCAGGTACTTCCCAGATTCATACCAGATACTGGTAAATCTCATGTTTTTTTTTTTATTCTTTGTTGTAGTTCCAAGAATCAGAAGATGAACAAAAGGCGGTGGTACAAAACACTGAGAAAATTCAGGATCATCTGGAAAAGTATAATTCAAACAACCATTCAAAATAACTCGAGTCTTTCTAAAGCATATATGCTATGTACTATGAGAATTATATCATTTTAAACATAAATACATCTGAGTAAAGCATGGAAAACTTTTAGCATTAAACTATTCTGAAATGCATAGCTTTTGCACATTATCCCTAAATTTTGTGCATTATTGACAAAGCAACATAGAATAATGATATATTTGCCAAGAAATTGACTTCAAATTTCTAGAATTTGCATAATAACACTTTCAGATATTTATTCTGAAATATATTTTCTTAAATTGATCTGTGAGAATCATTAATTTAAAATATGTATTTTAGGCATGATCAGGAAAATCGTGAGTTGAAAGATACAATACTAAAGCAAGCAAGGGAAATTAAAAATCTTCAGGAAATCCTTTTCAGACTAATTTCAGTAAGTCAATCATTCACCTTTTGTCTACTATGTATAAGGCTACTATGGGAATTGATAATAACTATCTCTTGGAGTCCCTGCTAATTGTTAATATATTTTGGCATGCCAAGAAATGACAGCAGCGATGCAATCTAGAATTCTGAATATTTCATAATCTAAAGCAGTGAGATTTTAAGACTAAATTATTGTGATGTTGTAAGTTATATTTCCTTTTTTTAAAGATTTATTTATTTATTTGCAAGTCAGAGTTACACTGAGAGAGGAGAGGCAGAGTGAGAGGTCTTCCATCCGGTGGTTCACTCCCCAGATGGCCACAAAGGCTGGAGCTGCGCCAATCTGAAGCCAGGAGCCAGGAGCTTCTTTTGGGTCTTCCACACAGGTGCAAGGGCCCAAGGACTTGGTCCATCTTCTGCTGCTTTCCCAGGACATAGCAGAGAGCTGGATCAGAAGAGGAGCAGCCGGGTCTTGAACCAGCACCCATATGGAATGCCAGTGCTTCACGCCAGGGTGTTAACCTGCTGTGCCACAGCGCAGCCCCAAGTTATATTTCTTTTATTAAAAGATTTATTTGAAAGGCAGAGATACACACACACACACACACAGAGTGAGAGGGGGGAGAGAGAGTGAGCGAGCGAGCGAGCAAGCAAGCTTCATCTGTTGATTCACTCCCCAAAAGAATACAACTAGGGCTGGACCAGGCTGAAGCCTCTAACCAAGAACCAGGAGCTTTATCCAGGTCTCCCACATGGGTGTACGTGCCCAAGCTCTCATGCCATCCTCCTCTGCTTTCCCAGAAGCCTTATCAGGGATCTGGATCATAAGAGGGGTGGATGGGACTCAAACTGGTACCCATAAGGGATCCAGCAGTGTAGGCATCAGCTTAACCCACTATGTGACAACATTAACCTCATAAACTGTATTTCTTAACAAGAATGGATACTAGGCCTTTGAGTGGACTTTTTAACCCCAAGAAATATGTTTTTCTCTTTGTATTTTAAAATGAAAGAAATATCATGGGATACATAGCAATGACTATTCCTGCAGGGCCTTGTAAAGTTACCTAATGCCCTGAGCACTGCAGATTAAGAAATCAACTTTTTCCCCATTAATCTATATCAGCCTTTATTTTGACTTAGGTCAGTCTCAGAAAAGATGGCTGTGTAGTCTAGGATCCTAATTTATTGATGAATAGTCAATGCTTTACAAATATTTATAACAAAAACAGTATTCCCTTATCCTTCATGTTTTCCTTTAGTAGGGTATAAGGTCACAAGATTGTATGAAGCACTAATATGGAACAATGAAGTAGTTGTTTCTACTAATTAATTGTCTTCAGGCACAATAGCTAGAGTGCAGTTGCATTATACAGATTCACATGCTTGTTTGGTTTAGAACATTTGTGGTGTTTGATCTCTCGGATGTCTTAGGAAAATTGAAGGATTGTTTTTCTCTAGACCTGTAAGAACTCAGTTCTATACATGTGAAATGAAAGCATATTGGTAAGGGGACTTTTTCTTTTTTAAGATTTTATTTATTTGAAAATCAGAAATAGAGAAAGAGAAGGAGGGAGGGAGGGAGGGAGGGAGAGAGAGAGAGAGAGAGAACTCTTCCATCCACTGGTTTACTTCCCAAATGGGTACAATGGCCAGGGTTGGGCCAGGCCAAACCCAGGAACCAGGAGCTGCTTCTATATCTCCCATGTGGATGTAGGGGTCCAAGTACTTGATCCATCTTCTGCTGCTTTCCTAGGTGCATTAGCAGGAAGCTGGATTGGAATTGAAGCCCCTTGGTCCTGAACCAGCACCTATATGGGATGTCAGTACTGCAGATGGAGGCTTAACCTTCTCTGCCACAGTGCCAGTTCCTATGGGACTTTTTAAAATGCCACAAGGCATCCCTTTATAAAATTGTACAGAAATATGTTAAGCAATTAGACATTCAAAAATTGGTTGTAGTACCTAATAGCTGTTGAGCTGCTTCAAAGTAAGGAGAGGTTTCCTGTACATTCCTGTATAAATGTTAGAAAATGTCATTGAATTATTAGTTATTTTGAAATCTACCCTATAAATCAAAAGTTTAATAAGAAACAGTTTTCATTCAACTCAGTGGAACGTAAGTTTTCCAGAAAGTTCTCATCCCATGAGTCCCTCTACCAGAGAATACCCAAGTTGAGATATTTCAGTTGACACAGCTGTGGAGCAGTGGATCTGAACTGGGATAGAGGCAGAGTCTGGTTGACTCCAATTGACCTACTTGAGTGTACATCTGAACGGAGCTTCAGGAGACTCAGAAGCTCAGAAGGTCATATCTGTGGAAGAGGAAATCATTCAAAAGAAAGTGGAGAAATCCATGACTTGACTTTGTGAAAGCTTTGCATTAAAAAAGAAAATCAAGTGTGTATCCAAGATGACTGAGTAATGAGTAGCCTCACTAATGTCGGTCACAGTAACAGTCACAGTAACTGGAACAAAGGAGCCTGTCATTCTCAGGGCAATGAAATTCCTGTGGAGAAGTGGCAGAACACAGACTCCTTGAGGCAGTTAGGGGAGAGAACAGATACACCACTGTCATCAGTGACTGCCACCGGACATCCCTTGTATCTGTGTGACTGACTTCTGGTTGGGAAACACTGTCTTGCTGGGATAAGATAGGAAGAAGATGCTGTGGCTCCCACTGTGAGCAGCCCTAGCCATGGGAGAATTTCACAGTCTCCACTGACTTCAAGTCCAGTCCAGGGATCTGACTGGGATCTGAGTGACTAAGTTGCTCTGAAAAGGGAAGGCACATTGCCCCCTTCCATTTGCACAAGGGAAAAGCAGTGTTAGGAGGGAAATCTATAGCATTAAATGTCCATATTTTTTTAAAAGGTCTCAAAATGTGTTCTAAGTATGCATCTTAAAGATTTAGAATATCAAGAACAAACCAGACATTAGCAGGAGGCAATAAATAAGAATCAGAGCAGAAATAAATGAAGTTGAAGCAAAAAACAATATTAACTATTAACAGAACAAAAAGGTATGTTTTTTTGAGTAGATAAATCTTTAGCCAAACTACCAAAATTACAAAAAAAAAAAAAAAAAACCTCAAGTAAATAACATTAGAGGTGAAAAAGTAGATGTTAAAGCTGATACTATTGAAATACAAAGGCTCATAAGAAACTGCTTTGGGGCTGGTGTTGTGACACAGCAAGTTAATGTGTGGCCTGCAATGTTGGCACCCCATGAATAGCAGTATCAATCCTAACTGCTCTACTTCCAATCCAGGTTCTTGCTAACGCACTTGGGAAAGCAGTGGAAGGTGGCCCAGTTTAATGGGCCACTGTCACCCATATGTGAGACTTGGGTAGAGTTCCTGGCTCCTGGCCTCCACCTGGTCCTGGGTTGACTTTGTGGAACCATTTTTGGAGTGAAGCAGCAGATGGAAGATCTCTCCCTCTATGAGCAACTGTATGCTAACAAGTTGGAAAACCTCAAAGAAATGGGTTAATTTCCAGATACAGAAAGCCTAAAGAGATCCATAAGAAGCAATGAAATTGAAAGATTAATCAAAAGTCTGCTATCAAGGAAAAGTTCAAAACCTGATAGATTTACTATTGAATTCTGCAATACATTTAAAGTGAGACTAACTCCAATACTTTTCAAACTATTCCAAAATATTGAACAGGATGTAGTTGCCAAACCCTTTTTGAGATCAGCATCATACTGATTCCAAAACTGAACAGAGACACAACATGAAAAGACTACTACAGACCTATTATCCTTGATGAATATAAATGCAAAAATTCTCGACAACATACTAGCAAAGTGAATCCAACACTCATCAAAAAGATTGTATGTCACAATCAAGTGGAATTTTTCCTAGAAATGAAAGAGTGGTTCAGCATTCATAAGTCAATAAACAAATAATATCAACAGAATGAAGAACAAAAACCATTTAGTCATCACAGCGAAAGCATTTGATAAGATTCAGCATCCTTACATAAAAATGTAAGTTAGCTATAGATGCAACCATACCTAAAAATATTAAAGCTATATATGATAAATCAACTCTCAGTATATCATACTGAATGGGGAGAAGTTGAAAACTTTTCCCATCATATCTGGAACAAGACAAGTTTGAGTACTTTCACTCTTATTCAATATAGTGTTGGAAAAATTAGCAAGAGCAATTAGGAGAAAGAAAGGACATCATAATTAGAAAGGAATAAGTCAAAATATCCATATTTCCAAATGACTTGTACGTGGGAAAACCTAAACAATCCACCAGAAAGCTGTTAGAACTGATCAAACAACTCAGTAAAGTTGAAGATACCAAAATCAAGATACATAAAACTAGCTTTTTTACATGCCAGTAGTAGAACTCACTGAAAGATAAGTCAAGAAAGAAATCCCACTTACAATAACCAACCTCAAATAGTAGGAGTAAATTTAACCAAAATAGTTAATTAACATGAAAATTACAGAATGCTAATGAAAGAAGTTATCAGGGACACAAGAAAATGCAAAGATGGAAGAGTTAACATCATTGAAATGGTTATACTCCAGGCGGCGCCGGCACACCGGGTTCTAGTCCCGGTCAGGGCGCTGGGTTCTGTCCCGGTTGCCCCTCTTCCAGGCCAGCTCTCTGCTGTGGCCTGGGAGTGCAGTGGAGGATGGCCCAAGTGCTTGGGCCCTGCACCCCATGGGAGACCAGGAGAAGCACCTGGCTCCTGCCATCGGATCAGTGCGGTGCGCCGGCCGCAGCGCACTGGCCGCGGCGGCCATTGGAGGGTGAACCAACGGCAAAAGGAAGACCTTTCTCTCTGTCTCTATCACTGTCCACTCTGCCTGTCAAAAAAAAAAAAAGAAAGAAAGAAAGGAATGGTTATACTGCCTAAAGCAAGCTACAGATTTGATTTGGGGAATTTTACCAAATCTACATTGGATTTAATTCTGTCATTGGCATTTATGATGTAGTTTGAACATTTTTACAAATAATTTGCTTTTTATTTTTATTTCAAGGATGAGTTCCTATCAATGGGTATAATTTCTCCAGTACAAAGATAATTGTAGCTGTCTGTGGATTGTTAATTTGGCATTGGATTCCTGTTTTCAGGGACATGAAAGCTGGCAGAGTTCATGATTCACAGTTGTGAGAGCAAAGGAGAGAGTTGTAGGTGCTGAGGTCAGGAGGAAGCTAGAAGCAATATTTGCATAGGGCCTAAGAAGCTATTGGAAATTACTTTTTTAAAAAATTAGAAATCTGTTCAAAGGATTTGAGCGAAGAATTAACTGTGTGAGGAATTCTGATGTTACTAAAAAGAGGAAAATAGTTCAACACTGTAGAATTATACCAGCTCTAGATACAAGATATGCATTGCTCTGTGATACTTCAGTAGGTTGTTAAGTGTTGCAGATTTATCAGGACAGAGATAGAGAACTGAGTGTTGGCTAATACATTACTGATTGTGCAGGGAGATAACACCTTCTGTCTTACCTGATTTCAACAATTAATAAAAATGTGTACAATTGAGGAAAAGAAGGTGAAGTGATATATGTGGTGATATTACCTAAAGCACAGATGCTGCTTGTCATTTGATATGGTGATTCCTTGGTAATCTCATTGCTAAATTGAAAATGCAAGTTAATAAAGTGTGTAACATACTGCACTTCCTCAATATGCTAGCTTAGTGGCACGTTACACTCTAGAGTGTTCTTCATTTGTCCTTGTGTTTGTGTGGTTGACGGGGAGCTACAAATCACTACTGCTGGCTAGCATCCTGAGAGAAAATAGTGTGGCATATTGCTAGCTCAGGAAAAGGTCAGAATTCAAAGTATGTGTCCTATGGGAATGTTTATCACTTAATTGCCTTCCTAAAGTTGAAAAATTGTAAGTGAAGCCATCACAAAAATCAGACCAGTTGTATGTATCTTTGAATGAAATATAACCATTATTTAACAATAAAGTGACTTATGAAATGTTAACATGCATATCTTATCAGGTAGATATGAAACACCTGCAGCAGCAACAGGATTACATTGAGAAAAGGCAATGTAAATCAGAGGCATCGCTGAGAGATATGGCACAGTTTTACCTTAAGTTAAACAGCAAGATGCAGGATATAATGAACAAGTTAGATGAAATCGTCAGAAAAGTATGTATGATATCTAGCATGTCAATAAGAATTCTAGAGCTTAGAGTTTCCAAATACAAATATCATAAGACCCTGCTTTATTTGAATATGAAAATCTTGGCACAATTTTATCATTATGCACTTACTTCTTAAACTCTGATATCCACTATTTATTGTTATATTCTTTATTAAAATAATACTCACTGTTAAAAACTTGAGGAATATATATCATTTTTCACAGAAAATGCACATTTTTCTCAATATTTTCAGTGATATCAATTGTCATGATAAAACAAGGCAGATTGAATCAGAGGATAAAATTTAGCAGAATTCTCAAAAAATACATTTCTTGTTTCACTTATGTGAATGGATACAAAACCTATGTTTATTGATCCTGTGTATTTCAGAATAAATTTTCAAAATACTTTATACTATGCTGAAATGCACATTTTAAAATATTTTACAGTCTAATTGAAAACCCTGTTTCTCATTCACATATATGTTATTTATACACATTGTAAGTGTGTATAATATATGTTATCTATACACATAATAAATGTCCGTCTTTATGCATGGAATATTCATATCATGTGTAGTCTGTACTTACAAAATTTAAAATTAAGAAAATTATTAATATCCTGCCTTTGGAGTTTTAAAAACTGATTTATTGTGATATAGTGGTGCTTCACAAACTTCTGGGGAAATGTGCAGCATGTATAAGGTATGAATTGAATTCACACATTTTACCTTGAAACTGACATCTCTTAAGCCTACTTTTTGCACAAATGTTTTTATGACTGCTCATCTATTTCACCTATGTAGACTTCAACCATTCAGATTAATAAAATTCAATATCCATAATAGGTTCCCAAAGTGGGATATCCATCACCATAATCAGTTTTCAAATATTTCAGTCACCATAAAGTAAAACTCTGTGTCACTTATGCACCACTCCTTCAGTCCTTTTTTCTTCCTTTTTCCTACAAAAGGGAAGTGTTTTTTCTCCAGATTTGCCTGCTATGAACGTTTCATATACATAGAGTCCTACAGTATGTGGCCCTTTATGACTGGCTTTTTTCACTTAGTATACTAATTTCAGGATCCATCCATGGCATAACATTTATCAGTACTTCTTTTTAGTATTAAATAACATTTTATTATCTAACAGAGTATAGGTCTGCTGTACAAATTATCTGCTCATCAATGCATGGACATGTAGAATGTTCCCACTGCATGCTGCCATGGACATTCATTTCCAAGTTATTGTATGGACACATTCAATCATTTCATTGGATTTAATCCAACTTGGAGTTAATTGGGCCTGTTTTCTCATTTCTCCACCATTCTTCATGCTATCCTGTCTTTGTTTCTGTTCACCTAAACATATTTATCCAGACCCAGCCCCAAATTTCCCTTATGTCAATAAGCTTTTCCTTCTGTCACATTTTGACCTTACACTTTTCAATATTTGTCATCTAGTTTTTATGGAACAGCATAGACCTTACTTTTAAACTGCTTTTATTTTTATTCATGGGAAATAATCTTGTCTGAATATAAATTTTCCTCAGGGATTTTATCTGACATGGATGCCACCTATCTTTGTGTAGATTGAAAATATTTTAGCTTATCAATTGTTAGACTAAAAGTATAAACAATTTATATCATTTCAGAAATTTATTCTTTTTGAATATGTATTTATTTGAAAGGAAAATTCAGATAGAGGGAGAAGCTGAAAGAAAAAGAGATTTCCTCCATCTGTTGTTCTAATCACCAACTTTCCACATTTGTTGGGGCTGGCCAGGTCAAAGCAAGGAGCATGGAACTCTATGCAGGTCTCTATGTGGGTGGCATAGACCTAAACACTTGGGCCATCCTCTGCTGTTTTCCCTGTCAATTAGCAGTGAGCTGGGTCAGAAGAGGACCAGCGAGGGCTGGAATGCCAGCATCACAGAGGCAGCTTAGCCCACTGTGCCACAACGCTGACCTGCTGAATTTTCTTCTTTGAGGCATTGACATAAGCATCATGAATAAAGCTTTAAGGTGAAGCTTTTAAAGTTTTTAAAGTTGTCCTTTAAGCAACAAATTATAAAATCAAAACACTTGATTGCTGTAGAGGAGAACTTATCTATCAAAAACTCAGTCTATACTCAGTAAGAAAAAAAAAAAACTATTTTCTTTCATGAACTAGCCAGAACTGGGATTTATTGTTTTATAGCTCTTTTTTCTGCTGGCTACAGATTCACTAATAGGCCCAAGTGTATACTGTTAGGCTATCTACAGAGTACTTGTAAGGCAGCATAAGAATGAATTGATTTTGGAAACTTCATTTAGCCACTGATTCCAATATTTTCAGGTCTGTTCTTTGAGTCTGTGTCTTACAGTCTGCAAGGTATGTGCTACTCAATCTAGGAATCCTGTTTACATTATCATTACCCAGGAAGTAGTGCAGAGAGTAAGTGATCAGTAAATTATAAGATGAAAAAACACTGGTGGCTATTGAAATCACTGACAATTTTATGCAGTACTGGGGAAGTAGTCTGGCCGCCTTCTTCCCCATTGGGAAAATAGCAGAAGATGGCCCAAGTGCTTTTAAATTGTGAAAGCAAGGGTTAAGTGTAATTTGTATAAAAGACCACTTTCATTTTCATGCCACCTTTTTGAAATGTCAAAAATTTTTCAAAATACGAAATGAGTAAGAACAATTCTTGACCAGATCATATTATTTTAGTTATTGGACCGAGTGATGTCTGTTGGCAAGTCAGCTTTGCAGTTACAGCATGAATGTTGCCATGAACAATATGCAAATGAAGAAGTGTTGTGATTTCCAATAAAATTTTTTTTTTTTATTTTTTTTTTAAACTTTTATTTAATGCATATAATTTTCCAAAGTACGACTTATGGATTACAATGGCTTCCCCCCCATACCGTCCCTCCCACCCACAACCCTCCCCTTTCCCACTCCCTCTCCCCTTCCATTCACATCATGATTCATTTTCGATTATCTCGATATACAGAAGATCAGCTTAGTATACATTAAGTATGGATTTCAACAGTTTGCTCCCACACAGAAACATAAAGTGAAAAATAATAGATGATTTTTTTAAATGATGATGAAATCAGAGCAGACCTATTGTCATGTTTAATCCCAGTGAGAGTCAAGTTGGGAATTGATAATTTCTTTTTTTTTTTTTCTTTTTTTTTTTTTTTTTTACAGAGGATCAGTTTAGTATGCATTAAGTAAGGATTTCAACAGTTTGCACCCCCATAGAAACACAAAGTGAAATATACTGTTTGAGTACTCGTTATAGCATTAAATCTCAATGTACAGCACATTAAGGATAGAGATCCTACATGAGGAGTAAGTGCACAGTGACTCCTGTTGTTGACTTTACCAATTGACACTCCTGTCTATGGCATCAGTAATCTCCCTATGCTCCAGTCATGAGTTTCCAAGGCTATGGAAGCCCTCTGAGTTCTCCGACTCTTATCTTGTTTAGACAAGGTCATAGTCAAAGTGGAGGTTCTCTCCTCCCTTCAGAGAAAGGTACCTCCTTCTTTGATGACCTGTTCTTTCCACTGGGATCTCACTCGCACAGATCTTTTGCCAGAGTGTCTTGGCTTTCCATGCCTGAAATACTCTCATGAGCTTTTCAGCACAGCTCCGAATGCCTTTAGGGCTGATTCTGAGGCCAGAGTGC